TCTGAAAAGTGCAAGGGAAGCCGAAGATAAGTCCTATCAGTAAAAAAACCGAACATTTGTTCAACTACATCTCATTAATTATGCGTATAATAAAGCTTAATATTATACGATGTCACATCTTACAAGTTCAAGGCCGATAATTTGGATTTAATCAAGGATATATAACATATATATTTAAACGTTAAACGACAGTACAGTCATATGTCCTGAACTACAAACGTTATGAAATGATGTAACAGTATAAAGTTAAGGAAACAATATTTGAATATTGTAACAGTTTAACCTGTCATACCGGACATCAACAAATATCCTTTATAGATATTAGGGGCAATAAATCTTCTATATAATTTCATTTATTACTTCCGGGAATATCGGAAATATACCAAGCTCTTCTAAGAAAGAGGACACACTTAACCTCGGTATATCTTATTTTCATGGGTCGCTAGTGAACTCTTTTAAATCTACTCAAAGTTGTTTTCTGGCCATGGTATGTGTATCGGGTATATACATAAAGAGACCATGAACAAGTTATTATGTAAGGTTATAGGCCAATTCAGAAGTACGTAAATTTACTTTTTTAACTGTGTTTTCATTCATGATTTTGACTTTTGATATTATTCCAGTTGACCTGTAAATGGGTACTAACAGAGAAAGATCAATGAAGAGCTAATAGAAAGGTTCCTAACAGAAGCGGGGCCAGGTTTACGTCCGAAGAGGAGCGAAATACCTGAGGTTGCCCGAATTTCTAACCTAGAGCTGCGAAGGGGGCGGGTAACCCCTCTGCTCCCCCCTTTGGCTCCACCACTATTCCTAAATGAACCGAAGTCGATAGCCTTGTAAAAGAAAAAAGGATTGTGTCTTTTTTTCTTTTGAATTATAAGGCATAATCTGGTCAGGATATTCTGGAATTGCAAGAACCGAAGACGTCAAATGCGATCACTGTCATTGATATACATACAAGGCCAAAAACACTTTTTAATTTTAACAACATTTTACGAAGAATGAAATGGACTATGGAACACCTCTTCCGAGGGAAAACTTTCAATTGCAGGAACCACCGGCATCAGAAAATGTAATCGGAGATTTAGATATTCATTCATACCTATAAACAAACAGACAAAAGCTAGATAATCTGTATCGTATCTCTTTAAATGGCTACTACGTTTATTGGTAAACAATCCGAGGAAAGCCCAATGAGATCATATTACTAAGAAATTGAAGGATTGGATGTACGTGTACGTGACTTGAACAGAAATACTCTCATCGCTTGACCTGTTTTCAGGTATTCAATAAAAGTCCAGTCGGTATATTAGTTACGAGTTACTTCCCTTTCACCAATAACTACAAACTTCGATTAAAATACTTCTGAAATTGTCATTACAATTGAACTGAGCTTGATATCTTAGATTCAGTTACAGCAGCACTGGTCGAGACTACAGTTTCCGGGTGCGGCCGTGTATCAAAAGTGAACTATCATTTTCAAGCTTCCACAAAAGCGTTGACCAAGGAGTTTGATATACATAAAAATGAAACAAAACTCTTAATCAAAATAGTACGGACCTAGATAGTTTGCTACATATACAGCAGCACTGGCCGAGGCCGAGATAAATAACATCAAAAGAGTATGAGAATAAACCATAACAGCGCTGTCCAAAGGATTTATAATGAAATAGAATGAAAATCGAATCGAATTTTTATTTACAATTCATAGTTTATTATGCCCTTTTTTCCATTTTTTGATGTGCGTGTGTGTGTGTGTGTAGGGGTGGGGTGGGGTGGGGCTGGGGAGATTTTATCTCCAAACTTTTCCGTGATTTGACCTGACAGCTACCTTTGTTCTTAGTGCATGCGTTACAACAAACAATAAACAAGGTCAGATTAAATAGACCTCATCAATCAGCTTCACAGGAATTAAAAACATTAAAAATAAGAATAGAAAGTTGAAAAGTAAAAAATAATGAATGAAAAAAGGAAAGACTTAAATGAAACCTAAAAATAATTTTGGTGGTAGAATCGTTAACGTTATGGAAGTTATCACGCTATTTTCTCAAAGTCAAAATCATGAATGAAAACACAGATAAAAAGTAAATTTAAAAAAAATTGGAAATTGTTAAAAACGTAATTAAGTTAAATTATCTTGAAAATTCTCGATTATGAAGGAAAATTTTCAAATCCATTAAAAGAACGTTGTGTTTACGTACTTCTGAATTGGCCTATAACTTTACATAATATGAAATAGGATGTTTTTGAAAAGAGGCGGGCAGACTGTAGCAAGGATTGTCGAAGGGGACAACTGTAAATAGGATATGTAACGATAACAATAACAATGGAGCGTAACAATCAATACCAACGATAACAATAACAATGGAGGGTAACAAACAAGACCAACGATAACAATAACAATGGAGGGTAACAATCAAGACCAACGATAACAATAACAATAGAGGGTAACAATCAATACCAACGATAACAATAACAATTGAGGGTAATAACAAATCAAAAATAACAAAAAAAAACAACAAACAAGAGTAATAACATTTAAAAAAACAAATCTCGTTATAAAGACAGTCTTATTATTTCGCATTAATTACTACAATTGACATTAAGTGGTACGTACGCCTTTGGGTTAAAATTACTCATCCATAGCTTGGAGAATATTAGAAAATATGTAAATTAACTCATTTTCACCCTTCAATTTCACAACTGCATCCCATTTAGTCACAATACACAGATGATGGATGTTGTTGCTGAGAGATGAGAATGATGTTGCTGAGAGATGAGAATGATGTTGCTGCGAGATGATAATGATGAGAATGACGTTGCTGAGAGATGAGAATGATGTTGCTGAGAGATGATAATGATGATAATGATGTTGCTGAGAGATGATAATGATGTTGCTGAGAGATGAGAATGATGTTGCTGAGAGATGATAATGATGAGAATGACGTTGCTGAGAGATGAGAATGATGTTGCTGAGAGATGATAATGATGAGAATGACGTTGCTGAGAGATGAGAATGATGTTACTGAGAGATGATAATGATGATAATGATGTTGCTGAGAGATGAGAATGATGTTGCTGAGAGATGATAATGATGATAATGGTGTTGCTGAGAGATGAGAATGATGTTGCTGAGAGATGATAATGGTGTTGCTGAGAGATGAGAATGATGTTGCTGAGAGATGAGAATGATGTTGCTGAGAGATGATAATGGTGTTGCTGAGAGATGATAATGGTGTTGCTGAGAGATGATAATGGTGTTGCTGAGAGATGAGAATGATGTTGCTGAGAGATGATAATGATGTTGCTGAGAGATGAGAATGATGTTGCTGAGAGATGATAATGGTGTTGCTGAGAGATGATAATGGTGTTGCTGATGAAGGCAGTGGTGATGATGATAATGACGATGATAATGATGCTGAGAGAGATGACGATGATAATGTAATGATCATTATGCTGTTACTGAGAGAAATGATGAATTGACAAATCAATTGACTAAAACAGTAAAATCATTTTCGTTACGTTTTCGAGAATAATTCCTCAGATATTGCTTTGTCTAATATTGATTCGAACCCACGGCACCTGATAATCTGATGTCAATCCGACCTGTTTCCAACTTATTTACCCCATCCCTACCCCAATGCCCTAGTGTGATACGGGCCTTTATCAATTGAAAGTAGGTTATATACAAAGTAAATACATGTACAATAAATACATGCCTTACTTACTTTACCATTCAAATCAATTCCTTCACTTGTTATGACCTACTTAATGAAAATTACTGTGTCAAGTTGACCTCGTGAGTCTTTATAGAGCTTAATGTCCAACCGGAAGGAAAATTACCACTGGATAAAGTATCGATACAGTGTCCGCACCTTCTACTCTTAACTGTATCGATAATTCCGCAATGTACGCCGCACCGAACACCGCACCTCTTTTTATCGCGGCTTTAAACATGCTAGACGAATGTAGTAGGCCTATTGCTCCGGAACCTGTAAGGTGTCTTCACTATTAATCTATCTCTCAAGAGTTTTTTTTACATGAGATGATATATTGTTCGGTAGCCTGAGGATAACCCGGAGAACTCCGCGTTTGCAGAGGAAAATTACCTCTGAGTAATTGACTGATTTAATTCTTTAACACGTTCAATATTATAATATATTCTTTAAAGTCAATAGGGAAAAACCAGAGTTCTTGGTACCCATGGAATTTTACACCTTTCGTCACTGTACGAAATTTTCCTTTCCGTTCTGTCGTAATTCAAACAGACCATTTGAATTTATATATGAGTGACCAATCAGGTGTATCGATTATGTATTGATCTCAATATGTCCTTGAAAGTTATATGCTAAAGCCCGATGCACCCTGGCCTATCTTTTAAATGCCGTAGGATTTTTTGACGACGTCCTGGAACATTTTCCCTCATTCCACACTACATGGGGTTTTCCATCACCATTTTTCCAATCAGGTACTGAAAAGTGGGATGTCACGGCGTTTTTTTCTGATTTCACACTGCATGGAGTTTCTCGATCTTATTAGTCCATCAGGTACCGAAGAGTATACGTCCAGGCGATTTTCCCCGATTCCACACTGCATGCCGTTGTCCATCACCATTAGTCCAATCAGGTAATGAAAGTGGGATGTCTTGGCGATTTTTCTCTGATTTCACACTGCACGGCTTTCCTTGTTCTCATCTGTCCATCAGGTGTAGAAAATGAAGACAGCTTGACAAATTTTCCCTGATTCCACACTGCATGTCTTTGCCCTTCGTCAAAAGCTCAATCAGGTGCAGAAAAGTAGGACGTAGAACTCTATTTCAGTCCTTTCACCTACTAGACTATTAGAGAGAATGTACAAATGTAGTTTTAAATCAGGTAATTTTCTATTGATCGACGATATTTCAACTGCAGCCAACAACAAACTATAGAAGTCATAGTGATAAAATATAGAGTTTATTTTTACATCAATTTTATAAGATTTAGCTTGTTTATTTCTAAATATGGCAGAGTGAGTTAAAATAAAAAAGGATCCGATATAAATTGAGATAATACATTGTTTTAAAAGCCAATAATTGGTCTCTATATGTTCGTGACATATATTTAGATCTTGTTTGTATTTTTAGTATCTAATTAGGAATTCTTTGATTTTCTACACTAAATATAAAAGTTTAAAAACTCATTTTTCACTCATAGAAGACTTACATTGATAGTAAGATACAGTCTTCATTACCCCAATCAACATCAGAAAAGTAGGACGTAAAGCTCCATTCATTTCATTTCGAATAAGAAGTCTTCATCTGGACAGTTGGTTTGGAGATGGACAACTACTCGAGCAAGTTCGTTGGTATATCGAATTTTACTCATTTTATTTTAAGGGATTGTAAAGAGGTTTTCTAAATTTTGTGTATGTATCGGGGACACTGATAACACAAATTTGCACCATTCCAATTTTAAATCAGATGTCTGTGGTTCCTGCAATTCCACTAAAACTAGGTGTTTTATGACGTCATCACATAAGGCTTTTGCGGGGGTGAAGTCTAGTGGAATTGCAGGAACCACAGAAGTCTGATTGAAAATTGGAATGGTGCAAATTGATGCTATCAGTGTCCCCGATAAGCATAAAAAGTTTAGAAATCCTCTTGACAATCCCTTTAAGTGCATTTGGATAAAAACTTTAAAAGAGTACATGTGCTGATAATCTTTGAAAAGTGAATAAAAAATTTTCGTAACCGATAAGAAACTGTTACAGCAAGAAAGATCGAGCTATCAAAACATAGGCGTGAGATCATCTACAGGTAAATCAAGGTGATTTACGCTCCCCGAAATCATAACATTTCTTAACCTAGTTTTATGGCCTTTCACGAGAAAACGTGCAGTAGGCCTAATCAAAAAAATAACTCGACTTCTCACGCGACATTTAATCATGTTTATTTCTTATTTCATTCAGGATTTCATTTACGCTTTGAACTCACTCCAAACTTGAGTCAGCTCCTACAACACATGCGTACGGATAGGGTGGGGTCAATCTAGATGACAGAGTAAAGTTAACTTAGATGTGTGTGTCTGAGGGTGGGTGAGGGTGTGTATGTGGGCGGGGGAGGTTGGTGGTTTGGTGGTTTGAACGACTGACTTGGTTACAGTTTTTTGAGTGAAGAAAATTCATTCATTCATTCATTCATTCATTCATTCATTCATTCATTCATTCATTCATTCATTCATTCATCCATTCATTCATTCATTCATTCATTCATTCATCCATTCATCCATCCATCCATCCATTCATCCATTCATCCATTCATCCATTCATTCATTCATTCATCCATCCATTCATTCATTCATTCATTCATTCATTATAAAGCCAGCTCACAGTCAACGAAAGCATATAAACATTTAAATATTATTCATATATCATCCTCCATTGAAATAACCCAGGATGCATATATATTTAATTACGTGACTGAATAACAAAAGTTTAAACCAATTATGTTAATAATTCTTTACTTGGCGTGTACAAGATAGATCTGTTTTCAATTATAATCAAATTTGACTCATTGTGGGGTATTCAAAACAGTGCATAAGATACATATACCTTAAATACATTTCTTATTAAATTAATACACGTTTTCAACTCATATCCTTTACTGTTTTGTACATCCTTTACGCACCCAAAAGTTGAGAGAGTCCCATATTCTTGCGACTCTTATTACGTTACGGTTAGGATTGACTTTACGTATGCAGTTTAACGTCAATTGTCGAATGCTTACGATTGACCCTTACGAATGACCTCAGCTTACGGAGAATTACAGTCATTGATGGCTTAATATAACTGAAGCAATCCGAATATAAATACTAACACGTCAATCAGATTCGTTAATTGATAATTATACACCGAGACAGTCGTGGAAATAGAATCTTAGCCTCCAGGTTCTACACTACAACTTTCTGTTATTCGCTGCCTGCAGGGTCCCGACAGAAATATCTTAGACCTTCGTTCATTGCTTCTGTTATTTAGTTGTCATTGTTGAATTATAGCAGTAAATTGTATTCAGATATATCATTTAACTTTGAATAAAAAATCCGTACAAGCTAAACAATTCCTTTATGAAAAATTTCACAGATCCATTATAATTACAGGCCCGAAAAATGGATTGATATTTATTGTCAATGCGAAAAGAAGGGTTGGATTACGTCACCAGACCGTAGGAGGCACATTATTTCGGGTAAAATATGGCTATTCTTTCAGATTTCGTGATATTGGAATAAAGGAGTTGTTGCCAGTCCCCCAAAAATCCTTTTTTCGTCCTACGAACGTACGTCACGTAACCATTCATCCAAAAACTTATTGATCGGGACAATACCTAAATAACAATAAAATCTTATAGCTAAGTCTATCTATAAACTTATTGAAACCGTAACAATGCAGAAAGGACATTTCTGTTAGCCCCTAAATATAGCACGATACCTTTGTCAAAATCAGATCATATTGCCAATCGATTGATCCCAAACGTACGTCATACCCTTGGCTTATGATCCTTCAAAACAATATTTTGTGGCTATTCTATTGAAGTGTAACACTTTTGAAGGTCGTTCATTCAATTCTGGTTTCCCTAAATAACTTCTGAATTGTAAGGGGTCCCTATTTATATATATTTATTGGTGTTATACGGCCTACGATCAGTATTCATCACCCTAATGTATAGGGCATACACTTCTATTTCCATATCGCTGTACAATTGATGTATTGAGCATTATTTTAACAGTGGTGTTGATGTATCGCTCTACAATTGATATATTGAGCACTATTTTAACAGTGGTATTTCTATATCACTCTACAATTGATGTATTGAGCACTATTTTAACAGTGGTATTTCTATATCAATCTACAATTGATGTATTGAGCACTATTTTAACAGTGGTATTTCTATATCACTCTACAATTGATGTATTGAGCACTATTTTAATACTGAAAATATTTTGTTATTGTAGGGCCTGTACTGTACAATGAATTTTGAATGCACGTCTTGCTTTGCTCGGTTTGGAACTTGTGGAAGGAAGTCGAAAGAGGTATTGTGACTTGGCTTATATGTTCGTTCCAAAATCTGTAAAATTGCGACTGAGAAATAAACATGCTATTCCAAATACGGAATTGATTTGGTCCATGGTTCCCGTTTGGGTTCCGTTCAAACAAAAATATATATGTACCCATAAAATCGTCAGGACTTTAAAAAGATCCAGGCATAATACGATATTGAAATACATCGTGTACAGATCGAGCCATAATTTGATATTGAATCACATCGTGTACAGATTGTACAAGATACGCGGGCTATGTGCTATTGACCTAAATACATGTCAAGATGACGCGGAACTGTTCCCCACCTCCAAAATATCTCGTCATAACGAACAAAACGCCTGCAACAAACCTCACAAAATTAGAACGATTCTATAATGAG